TCAAAATTACTAAATTATTTTCATCATACGCATATATATGGTACCGTGAAAGACCGAAATTGGAGAATGTCGACTTTCACCGGAGAATATCAACATTCACCAAATACGTCGGTGAAAGACCGAATATTTCACTACATTCTTGTATGTTCGAACCCTCACCGGTGTATGTCGACAATCACAGATATGCTCTGGTGAAAGTCGAAAAGAGAGATCATAAAGTGCCATAATAGTTTAAGTTGTTGCAATAAAGATTTGAATCACATAATTTAGTAAGTTTTTTATTACTGTTATTTTATTTTCTCATTTAGAACGTACTGTATAATTAAGTAAGTTTTCAACTTCTATTATTTTCCTTTCTCATTTTGAATGTATTGTGTGTTTTAGGTTCTCATGTTCTTATTTCAAGTCTCAAGTGCGTTTATTCCCGACTGAATTACGGAGAAGAAAATATAAATATTGTTATATGTTCAACATCCACCATTAGTACATGGTGAATGTCGACATTGACCGGTTAAGTCAGAAATAAGAGTATTTGGAAAATATTTCGGACATACACCAAGAGACTATGTGAATGTTGACATTCACCGCTGAAGTCGACATTCCCCAGATTTCGGTGTTTCACCGTAACATATACATATAACTCTTTGATTGGGCGGTGATCATCCTAGATGTCATTGTATTTCAAATTATCTGAATTCTAGCGCTGCGTATAAAACACACCAAGACGAAATATAAGAAACACTTAAAATCGCATTTATATATTTCCCCAATAAAGTATTTATATCGATATATTTTAAGGCTAAGCACATAACACAAGCTAACTGAATTACTGAGAATTCGTGAGAAGAAATAAGCTCATTGGTTTTCTTTAGTAATATTGAAATTTAGGAGGTCCTGAAAGCGATTGTTAACAGAGAGGAAAAATCTGAAATTATATACACTCATGTCCATGAATTAAGGATAATTCGGAGTCACGCGGAAATCGAACTCTGAAATAAATATATCACCTGTAAAATCACTACACACATCTTCAAGAATCATATGCAAATTTCAGGAAGTAACCAGATGACACCGATGGTACGTCACAATGACGAGAGTGTAAGAGAGTGATATACTCGTATAAGGAATACAGGCAAAGAAGTAAAATTGTTCGCAGGCGTTTTATAAGCATTTCAGTGCAATAACCGAATAGTTATGACACAAAGGACGCATTTGGATGATTTTACGTGGTAGAATTATCGGCCGTCTGGAATGTGAGCGTACCCAACTGGAAGTATCAGACGAACTTGGAATTGCCCAGAGTGTCATCTCCAGGCTTTGGCAACGATTCCAAGATGATGGTAATGTGAGTAGACGTTACAGCACAGGTCGCCCCAGAGTTACAACCCCGAATGAGGACCGGTATTTGGCAGTTACTGCCAAAAGAAACAGGCGGAGCACAGCCTTAGACCTGTCTCGTCGCTCTCTTCAGCCACTGGTACGACAATTTCAAGGCAGACCATGTACAGGCGCTTAGGGCAGATTGGTCTATATGCTCGTAGACCTGTCAGATGCGTTCCACTTACTGCAACTCACTGTCGCCTGCGGTTAGCCTAGAGTTAGAGTTAGAGTAGAGAGCATGTATTGTGGACACCGCAACAATGGGCTTGTGTGATGTTTTCCGACGAGTCTAGGTTTAGCTTGCAGTCTGATTCTCGCCGGACTTTCATATGGAGAGCTCCAGGTACCCGTTACCACCAAGAAAACATCGTTGAACGACACCGTTACGGTGGTGCAGGAGTTCTCGTTTGGCGTGGAATTACTGACCTGCATGTTCAAATTGGAACCATGACAATCCAAATCTATCGGGACATCATTCTGGAACAACATGTACGTTTGTTTCGGGGCGCCATGAGCGCACAATTTGTGTTTATGGATGACAACGCCCGTCCTCACCGTGCAAACATCGTAAGCGAATGCCTTCAATCGGAGGATATCACTCGTATGGACTGGCCAGCATTCTCACCGGACTTGAACCCAGTAGAGCACGTGTGGGACATGCTTGGCCGACGAGTTGCAGCCCGTCAGCCTCCTCCTACATGTCTACCGGAACTTCGGAGAGCATTGCTTTTTGAGTGGTGTTATATCCCCCAAGATAAGATCGGTAATTTGATACTCAGCATGCCTAGGCGTTGTACGCACTGTATTGCATCGTCTGGGAGACATACGGTGCATTAACAATCATACCAACCATGTAATATTGTTTTTTTTTTTTAAAATAGGTTTTTTTTTTTTTTTTTGTTGTAATTTGCTCCAGAGAGAAAAAATCGCTAATTTTTTTAATAATATCAAACATATAGCATCTTTTTTTGCTCTTTACCTTTTGTTTAATAAATAAGCTTTACAAATAAGTCAAATTTGTTTTGCTTCTAACTCTTCTTTTGCCTGATTTTGCATTAGCCTTAATTTATGGACATGAGTGTATATATAGGCATCCGTAAAATAAATTTGATCAACCTTGATGCCAGTCACGAAAAAGAGAAACTTGAGATTATCATGCGACATGTAGGCCATCACTTGGCCATTTTTATAGATCTTAGCAAATGACTTTGCAATATTTATAATTAGAAAACAAACAATTTCCTGCTGTCAAAACTTTTATATAACTTCAGAATTAAAAATGGACTAAAACATATCAATTTAATCACACAGCCTCGCAAAAAATAATGCATTTATTAGAAAAGTAAAATTTTCTGCATCTGACAATATAAAAATTCACAAAATGAATGTATTTGTATTATGGCTTTTCCTGGCATATATATCTTTAAACTAAAAGGTGTAAAACGATGTAATAAAAGCCATGTTAAGGAAAGCGCAAGAGAAGTATTTATCTCAGGTTAAAACTAGGGGTGGATGAATTCTAAACCTTCTTGAATTTGAATCCTCCATTTAAGAATAAAAAGAAAGAAAGAGGAAAGAAAACTTTTATTTCATATAAAAAAAGTTTTGAAATCTGCATTTAACGAAAAAAAAAAAAGAATGTAATTTAAAAATACGTATATATTACATATTAAAAAGTTACAAATAAAATTAGTTAATGAAATATATAATTTAACAAAAAAATTAATAATATTTTTTATATTAAAACAAAAGTACAGGAAAGAACATTCGAAGAGATAAGCACAGACATATTTTAAATATGGAATTCTAAATTACCAGCAGAAAAATTAAATATGCGACACATGAGGTAATGCTGGTAAATCCAGCTGAATTGCAACATCTGCTTTCTTTTTAATTAATGCTTCTATTGGGAGCCAATAAAATTAATTTTCCAAAGTTTAGAGATAAAACACTAAATGCTTTTTTAAACTTAGGATTCGGATAACTCAAATAATAGAAAAGAGGGATCGAAGACTTGAGCACTGAATTTCGAATTTTCCTGAAGACTTGTGATATTCGAAATCTGAAAACAAATAGACTAAAATTTTTAAATTATTATACGTTCATTAGTACTCGTTAAGAGATACTTGATACTTATACGCACTTGATAAAATAATATCAAGAATTGGCCGGGGGCAGTTAGTTTAGAACAATGGTGTTTATATTCAAGCATAAATTGACAACATACCTTGAAAATAATGTTTATAAACTTTAGCTTTCGTATAAAAAACTAAAATTATGTTATTAAAAAGGTTTTCGGTATGGAAGGGTGAGAGTCTATTAAAGTTTCAATGTAATTTTTCACAATTTTGTTCCTTAAAAAAATGGTGGAATATATTATTGGAAATGACAAGTTGTGAACTCTGTATTCAAAATAACCAAGTGCAATTTCCCTTATTTCATATCTCTAATTTTTTTATCAATATGAGGTTCATACAGTGGGGAAAAATTTTTATAGGATTTAAAATTAGCTAAAAGTTATGAAAGTTAATCTTAGACTCATAATGGTGTTATAGAAAAACTAGGTGCATTTGGAGGAAGAGTGGGTTGTGATATACCTAACCTTCAAGAAACAAAATTATCCTGCTGCAGTTAAGAATAACAGATACTTCAAAAAAACAGTTTTTCTTTAAAACTAATGAGATCTCATGATGATTTGTATGAATTTAAAATTTTATATTGTATACATTATGGAAGAAACAGATATTGAAATACCTTATATCAGCTGGCATCTTGATGTTGAATCCATTATTTCAATTTATTATATCACTGTTTCTTTCTACTTATGATCTTCTTCTCTGCTTCAGATTCTGATTTATAATGTTTCTCAATTTTTTTTCCTTTGGGATATATATATATAATTTTTTTGAGAAGTCCATGACAAATGTCTACCTGCAACTTACTCTGCATATATATGTTTAGGTTGTACTAAAAACAGATGTGTTTAAATTATATTAAAAATGTCATTTATAGTTGAAAATACCAGTTCAATTCCTTGCTTAAAATATATTGTTTGGTATGTTTATATATCATACTATAAAGTTCATAAAACAAATTTTAATTTTATATTTAAAAGACTACAAACTAAAATTTAATATACCTGTTCGTACAATTAAATATTTATATTACTTATTTTAAGCATTAATTTCAACAAAGAATTCAAAGTCAAGTCTTCTCATTTACAATATATAATGTACACATTAGGATACACAGCACCTCTAATATTCATACTTCTGATTGTGGCAAAATATATCATAATTAAATAAGTCATAAAAATGATGAATATTTATTTAAAATAAGATATTTTCACTCATAAAACACAATTAAAACAAAAGACAAATAATTTTTAACCTATATTACTATTACATTAAAACATCTTTACGGTTACATTTAAAAGCTTTATAAACAAAACCTACATTACATTTGTTAGACTAATTTTTATAATTCATTTAGATGATATTAATTTACTTCATATATTAAAAATATTTAGTTTCTAAATTATGCTGTATCGGTTTTTAACAAAATTTTCTTGAAAGAAATATGTATGAAGAAAGAAGAAGAAAAAAAAAAAAAACTCCAGATGATAATATATATAAAGTTTTATTTTATTTACAAATTGAAATACAAAGCTTTCTGTTTAGAACACTGCATCAGAAAATAACATCTCTTCAATCGAAAATTAGTTGAACAGCTTCTTTCAAAATCTCTTTATATTCATATCAAATATATATTTTTTAAGGATGTGACTAGGAAAAGTATTTTTAAATGTTAAAAAATTTAAGTTTTTATTTAAATTTTAAAAAATAAATTTAACAACAAGTATATTTTTTAAATAAATTGCAGCAGCACCTTGTACATCAATAAAAACTGCAGTACTGATATAGATTCAGTGATTCAGATTAAAAACATGAAATTTTATTATATTCCCCATACTGAAATCTAATTTATTAGTTAAAATATCATGGAATGTCATTAGTTTTATGTGAATTTTAAAAACAGCAATTAAAAAGGTATTTACTTCAAACTCAGTTTGTTGCAAATATAGTCATAAAAAGTAGTTGTATATTATCATAGGAGTAAATACAGCATTCATAATTTCAGTATTTGACTAGGTATCACATTTAACAAATCTTCAATCCAATAAACAAAATTTCAATAAACACTAAGAAAACAGTAATCAAAAACTGCATACATTAAAAAAAAATAATCACAGCCTTGTATCTTGAGTTTCACTATTGACTCTTAATTTTATGGCAGTTCCAGATACTGTGGATTGATATAAAGCATTCTTTGAAGAAGAGAAGATTTCACTAGTGCTCCCTACTTCTATTATTGTACGGAAATTTTCACACTGACTAGCATCTTCATTGTATTCAAATCTATCAATTTCTTCAAGTTCTGCTTTGTTATAGTACGTCATTTCATCTGTTTCCTGATTGCTAAACCATAATGTAGATTGACGCTTATCATCCCCATAATGTTCAAACCATGTTGGTGTTCCACCTGTAAAATGGCATCCATTTGCAACATTGCTATCTACACTGAAAGAATTCGAGTTCTTTTCATTAACCTGGACATTACTATCATTTACTTCATAATCAGTGTTATTTACAACACTTACTGGAACCTTTTTAGAATTTGAAATTCCATTTACAAATTCAGAGCTGGATGTTCCATTAATGGTTAGATTTTTATTGTTGGAACTGATTGTTCTTTTACTGTGGCCATTAAGACTTTCAAAAACTTCACTTTTGTTATTATTTAGCTCTCTATGATCTTCATTCGTGATTGAATTTCTTTCATTCTTTGTGGCTGATTTTGAGAACCTTTCTTCATTATCTGATTCATCCATGAAAGACATTTGGCACTCATTATATGTTTCACTACCAGAGCTGTTGAGGGAAATACTGATGTCATCTAAATCTAAAGCTTTATCATTATCTATAAAAACATCTTCAGAACTGACAGAATCACTTTTAGCATAAGAATCTGGCCTTTCTGGAGGTGGCACTGATGGTCTCTCAATAACTTTGTGGGTTCTCTCAGCTACAGGAGGTAAACCATTCCTATGGTGCCTGGGAGGTTTAGGCCTAGATTTTGGACGATTATTTACTGAAACTGGTGGATTTGTTTCCACTGTAGCTGTTTCATCTGAGCCTATTACAAAAAGTCAGAAACAAAACTATTATAAAAAGAAAAACGACAAGCTTTCAACTGATTCTAATAATGACTGAAAAGGTAATTATTAAACAATCGAAAATCATATGAACAAGTTTCACAATTATTTCTTCTACCAACAAATTGATCAAGCAAGAACAAAATTTTATGATTCTAATATTCGTGGTGTATTTGATAGCTTTTAAGCAGAATTTCTCAAAATTATGGTCATTGAAGCCTGTCCTTGTGGTTCTAGTAGCTCTGCAAAAATACCTTGGTATTTATAAATGAAATTAACAAGATTTAACATAATTTCTTGCTATCTTTCTCAAAACTAAATGAACTAAATGTATTGTAGTAGTAATGTAAATGAACTAAATGTCATCATTTAGTTTTCAAAACTAAACGAACTAAATCTCTGTCCACAATGTACTTCTTTGATGGTTATCATTGCCTATGAGAAACTAAAGTTTTGAGAAGAAACTTGGGATTGCAGCTCTGTTGTGAGAAACAAAGAATTTTTCACCATTTTCAACTTTAAAAACATTTTTAATAGAAAATTATATCGTCACTGAAAAGAATTTTGAAAGACATATATTTACATCTCAAATTTCTCAGGTCATAATTTGAAACTTACTTTTCAACTGGAAAATATAATGAATTTCATGTGTTCTCAATCTCTTCCATTGTGATTTTGAAAATAGCAAGCTGTCACTAAATAAAGAATAGTAATTAAACTCTCTAATGATATCAGATTTAAAATGGAATTCCATGAAGAAGATATGGTTAATTTCTGGACTTCAGTGAAAATGAAATATAGCAAACTGTACAATAACGCTTTAAAATTATAATTCAGTTCTTTTCTTTTCTTTTTCTTTTTCTTTTTTCTTTTTCTTTTTCTTTTTTTTTTTTTTTTTGCATATCTTTGTACGATTACTAACTCGAATAGAAACAAAGTATTGAAATCAACATAGTGCATGTGTGTATCTCAGACTTATCAGGATAGATCCAAAAATGTAACAGCTAGGTTAGAATTGGCAGGCACATTCATGGACTAATGCGAGCACAATATTTATTTAATTTTTAAGTAATGAGATAAAGATTAAAGATTATTTGGACTCTAATTTTTGAAAATAACATGATGCTTTTGAATATTAGATGTATAATTATTTTATTTTAAGTTTAATAGGAGAAAGAAGAATTGTTAGCTCTTGCAAATCTCGAAGAATTGCTGACAACGGACATTATCGGTAAAAGAAGTCAAGGTCAGTATTTTATTTTATTAATTTTTTTTATTAAAATGGAATCTTTAATTAAGAAATGAAAACTTTTCAGAGCATATTTTACAAAAACAATTAATGCAATTTTGCAGAAATTAGAAAAGGAAATTCCTGATGAAAAATCTGTGAACTTTCACAGATTTTAGTGCATTTATCTGTTGAACATTTCATACTCAGATATTAAATTCAGAATTTTCTTCAAATGACCAGTTTGAAAATGAATGGGCAAAAGTTGAAGAATACAAAGAAAAGTTAGATTTAATATGAGTGGAAAAGGAATTATTTTTTAATCACCACATGGCACAATCCATTGGTAGTGTGCCACCAAATTTGAATAAACGGAAACTGAAATTACCTGAAATAGAATTAAAACAATTCCGTGGTGATATTAAAGATTGTTTACTGTTTAGAAGACAATTTTGGCGAATATATATGAAGATAAGGAAATTAAAAACGAGGACAAGATGGATTTTTTCATTTTAATGACGGTACCTGGTATGAAATCCCATGATATTGTGAACAGCTTCCCTGCAACTGCCGAAAATTATGAACATAAAACCCTTATAGTTTCCTTAAAATATGTGAGCGATATATGTCTTTATCATTCTTCGGCTATTCTTCAAAGTACACAAAAATACTAAGAACGATCAGGTGGATACACAGATTCATAGGAAATACCCAAAAGAGGCGAGAAGAAAGAGAAGCTGGAGGGTTAAAAGTTTAAGAATTGACAAGAGCCGAGAAATGTACTGTGAAAATTATTCAACATGATTCCTTTTCATCAGATGATATTAAGAAGCTGAAGTCAATTAGTGTATTCAAAGATGACGAAGGCATTCTATGTATCAAGTCTAGGTTGACTGAAAATAAAGACTGAAAATTTTATTTATCTGACGTTACTTCTGAAGAATCATAAAACTGTAGAGAAAGTGATAACTGATAAACATCTATCGATGCCTCATGCAGGAATTCAGGTATTGCTCTCAAAACTTAGACAGACTTTTGGGATCCTGAAAAGCAGAATTATGATTTGAAAATGTGCATGTGTCAGGTGCAAAAGGCATGGAAGTAAATGAATAGACTGTACCTGCTACTCTACCAGAAAACAGAGTTAAAGATGCTTGTGTTTTCAAAATTGTCGTAGTTGATTTAGCTGGCCCATTAATTTTGAAAGATAAAAGAAAAGCTTGTATTTTATTTTTCACCTGTGCTGTTTTCTCCGCAGTTCATTTTATAACTGATTTTTTTGTCTTTTGTTCAATTGAAGGATTTTTTTACTTGGCCTAAGAAGATTTATTGTCTGTACAGAGAGGCCATCGATAATTTATAACGATAAGGGAGGCGATTTTGTCGGATCCAATAATCTCTTGAGGTCAATTGATTGGAATACCATTGAGATAGAAGCTGGCAGAAACAAGATTGACTGGAAATTCAGCCACCCACAGCACATTGGTGGGGTGGTTTTTAAGAAACGACTTGTTCAAATGATTACAAAGCTTTTGTGTCGAGTCCTAGGCCAGCCATGTTTGAATTATGAAGAACTGATGAGTGTGCTGCGCAACTGTGAATGCCAGATCACTAACTTATGTGTCATGTGTCAGAGGACTCTGATGATCTCATCCTTTGACACTGTCCTTGTTTTTAGGTTAAATTCAAGTCTTTGAAGTACTTAACTTGGATCACCTTGATAAAATCTCAGCTAGAGACTCAGACATCTACAGAATTTATGACAGCTCTTCAGAAAGAGATTTAGAAGTGAATATCTCAACCTGTTAGTGCAATTTCCATCTACAGTGCCAATTTCTTAACAGATAAAAATCGGCGACATAGTTCTCATCGAACGGGATGACAAACGCAAGGTGCTGTGGCCTCTAGCAAAAGTGATTGAACTGAAAAGACAGCAACATTCAAGTAGTTCGAATCAAAACCATGTCTGGAGAATTAGTTCGACCAATCCAGAGAATATTCCTTCTCGAAATACCTTCATCATCAATCAAATACCTTCATCGAGTCAGATGAAGAAAATGAAACTGAGATACAAGCTGAAAACAGTTTAGTTTCAAAATTACCAAAGAATAATTTTCTCCAGATTTATCAAAGGACATTAAGACTGCCGAGACTAGAAGTGGACAACAAATTAAAATCTCATCTAGATTTCTTACCTGAATACTATTTGGGTCATTTTAATGTAGAAATTTAAGATCCTAATTTTTCTTTTTGTTTAATGTTTAGTCTTGATATTTGTGTGGACAGTATTTTTTATATTTGTTTTGATTGATTAAGTGTATGTCATCAATCAATAGGTGGAAGTATTGTTAGAACCAAGCCTCAGTTGTTATCTTTCATTCATAGTGGCAACCTTCTGATCTTTGTTCAAGCTTATTGTTGTGCTACAGATTTTGAAAATAAACATTACGCTTTTGAATATTAGATGTAAAATTATTTTATCTTAAGTTTATTAGGATAAAGGAGAATGGTTAGTTCCTGCAAATCTTTAACCACTAATAGCCTTGAAATATAACTTCTATTAACTTACTTTTTAATCACTTTTGCTTAGTACCAATATAAAATAAAATTAATTTTAATTAATTTTATTTAAAATATAAGTATACTGTTAGAAACATATGGTACAAAAGTGCTTTCAAAATATAATACACTAATAATAAAATAATCTGAGCATTCTAATATATAAAAATGGTCCCTATTAAAAAAGAGAAATGATGCTTTAACAGATGCTTCTCCTCTAGAAAGTGTTGTCTTATTCTTTACAATATTCTTATATCATAGAATAATGATTTTAAAAATTATTCTAAACTTGAATGCAGTGGACATACTTTGCTACCTTACTGCAATTTTGCATGACAAATTATTTATGATAATGCTTATTTATGATTTATTTATTAAGATTTACCAAAAACTAAGATATTACAAATTTCAAATAATATCAAGAACAAAAAATTAAAAGTATAAAATTAATATTAAAATTAAGATCAGAAATTTAAAAAAAAATTAAAAGAATGTCAAATAATATATTTGAAACACAGAAGAAACATGTTGCTGTTACATGTTAAAAAATAAATAAAATAAAATAAAATAATTTTTTTAAATAGATAAAAATTCAGAATGTAAAAAAATGAGTACACATTTGTGAAATTTATATCTACATGTAAGATAATAATTCAACTCATACTTTCTATCATATGCAATATTTGCAATAGGCCATATGTGGATGATATCACTTTAATGCTGAATTATTTGATTACAAGAAAGCATAGAGCTTTCTGCCTCACGAAACTTGCTTGATCTATCTAAGTGAAACTTGCTCATATTCATGTTACACATAGGAAAATCATTAAAATGCCTACACAGCTGATTCGTAATCTGAATCCAGATCAAAATACCAAAGTGCAGAAGTAATATCTAAATGGCCATTGCTGAGCCATTATCTTTTCTAATTAATGGAGAAATCTCTTAATGTAAAAATGGTCATTTTTAAATGTTAAGAGCTATTTAGTAACATCAATGATATATATGATAATATAAAAAGTTAGACCTTTTCTTGTTAATAGCTTTTACTGCTAATGCTCAGAACACAGACTTCTATAAAATTTAATTAAATTTCTATAAAAATGTTCTGTAAAATTTACTACAAGCTAAATATTTAAGTAGGAATAATATAATATGAATAATTCATCTGCAGCTATGTTCATAATACATTCAATCAAATTTATTTGTATTATGTTCTTTAAACTTATGTTTGAATGCTAAGATTATGTTGAAATTTATCTCCGATATTTATGCAACACAAATCTGAATAATTTAAATGCAAAAACAGGATACTGTTTCATACAGCATGTGTTCAATAGTATTTGAAAATTTAAGCATTTGCCAGTAGTTAAATTTTATGTTTTCATTCATATTTTAAACATTTACGCAAATTTAATTTTGCCTTTACATACCTGGAGATATCTAGTTACACAAATGCTTGTATGATGTGCTTAACAATTTGGTTTGAAAAGTTTCCTAATATTTATAACTATGTATAAATATTATAAATGCTTATGCAGCATAAATTTAATTAAAAATAAAATTAATTCATTTCTTTTTAATTATGTTTTCCTCTTATTAATATTTATATTATACCCCTTTTCCCCCTTCTATGTATGACACAACTTCTTCATATATCTTTCACTAACTCTCACTGTTAATTTTTACCAATTTATTTTTATCAAGCAGCATTCACTGCTCCATATAAAAAATATAATTCAGTCAAAAACTAAGCATATTACACAAACTAAAAGTTATTGGAAATATCAATTGGATTTATTTTATAATACTTTTTAAAATTCTACAAACCTTTAGCAATTTTATCAGAAAATGGTATTTCATTGTAATTAGCCTTCAATAGATCTTCGTGAGAAACACTATGTTGATAAAGTTTGTTGTTATTATGCACTGTGTTTGCTCTAGCTAAAACATTAGCTTGAAAGCCTCCACAAGACAGGGAACGAGTAATCATGCTTTTCGTAGACTGTGATGAAGGAGCTTTTGGAGCAGCTTTCTTTCTCGGGCGAATGGGCACCCGTGGACTTGGTGATTTTGGACTGCTAGGAAGATATTAAAAGACATAATCTTTAATCACTTCACACAATTCTAAAATATCAATTAGTTTTAGCTTTGCATTGCATTTACTAATCATAGAATACTTTGTAAGGTTTATCCTACGTTATCTAACAGTTAATTTTTAGTTTAAGTTACTTTCCTATCCATTCTTAATTTCAGCTTACAACTTCCGGCCAGAACGTATTTTCAGAATTGCGGTCAAATGCAAATGAGGAGAAGTATTTAACTTTGAAATTCTACTGACGTCGTTACAGATCCAGATATTCTGAGCAGTGCATGTTCGCCTTTTAGGCTACTCTCTCTCTCTGAAGCTATTATTATGCTCAGCCGTACTTTAGGACCTTGACAGCTTTGTTGTTAGTTAGCATTAAGGGGCTAACTCCGCTACAATCTTAATAGCTTCGGCTATATATTTTTAGTTAAGTTTTACTTCTTAGTATTCCCAAGTTAGAGCCAAAGTGGAGGCTTTATTGTAAACTCCAAGAAGGAGTTGTCTGTTAAATTTATTTTTGAATAATAAAGGGTATTTAACCCTTCTTGAGTTCTGCTCTCTGTTCACTGAACTAAGCGATTATTCGCCTACCAGTTCATAAGGTTTCTCATTTTCAGCTTTAACTTAAAGGCAGGAATATTACAACTTTACTATGATACATAAAATACTTATTACTACTAGTAACTACTGGTATTTACTAATCATAAAACAATGCATACTAAATGATAAGAAGTAAATACTAAAACAAGTAAAAATGAATATTTATTTAGCATATATATTTTTACAGTATTTTTTTTCCGTACAATAAAAAAAGATATTTTTTTGTATGAATATAAATGGTGAAAGGTCCTAGCTAGAATAACAATGAAAAGAGATGGAATATTATGAAAATAATGAATCACAAGATTTAACATAAAAGTGTTTTAATGTCACTAAAAATTCCAAATGTTTTAAAGCGCATGCACGCTTCCAATAGAAAGTGACAGAGAGTTTATTGAAAAGGAAAAAAATTTCTATTGACAAGTTAGTCGGTATTCTCGACACAGCAATTACAGGACTTGAACAGTGGAACATTGTAACTGAACAAGAAATTATGTCTCTTTATACAATTAAAATGAGAGTATTAGCACAAAAAACGAAGCAACTTAAACAACTTACATTGAAAGAAAATGTTTAATAAAGTAACAAATTTAAGCTTTTTTGTAAATTTTGATACCCTTTAGATCATAATTGCTCTTTATTTTCATAAATTACGGTTTCATATTTTTAATTGTACAATTTCTGCATGCCATCTGACCAGATTTAAATTGATGATCTATAATCCGGAAAAACCCCTAATCCGGAATCGCTGAAGTCCCAACGAGTCCGGATTATGGACTTTGTACTGTACTGGATTTCTGTCCAATGACTCATTTCTACTACTGTTACTGACACATTACATATCTGTACCTCAGCATTACCTTTATTTGTTAAAGTAAGAGCATTCATGGTGTGCAGTAACATCACATCATTTATTACATATTTTATTACAAATAAAAGCTATAATGTATCAAATTTTTCACATTATTTCCCATCCTACACAATCACGGACTGCAGGATTGTTTCACATTTCAAATTTGAGATTATAACTCCGTAACATATAAAGATGATTTATGTGTTAGGAAGTTGAATCTCAAATTCAGATTCCTTTTTCTTTTTTAAAAAATCCATAACATTTTAAAAGCATCAGATCTAATTAGCTGTAAAGTGTTTTGAATTTTTAGAAATTCATAAAATATTAACAATGAATTTTATAACTTATGTGATTTAATAACTATATGGATAAGTATATAGTATATTCCTGAATTCATATTTTCAGCAGCTCAATTTTACTTAACTGTTTCTGTAAATATCTAACTTTGCCTTACTTTTAAAGAATTTTAATGAAAAGTCTACTTAATATATTTTTTATACTTTTCATCAGTAATGTTTTAACCATAATTTGCCATGTCATTTCCTACTTAAGTATTAAGGAGTATACTTAACAGCATTTTTAATGTTACCTAAATGATAACTCAGTATAAAATTCAGTTATATTCGATGAAAACATTTACAGAAGTATCATTAAAAATATTAATTTAAGTGAACTTTAAGCATTTTTAATGTTATCACTATCTTCAGGATGTACTTAAGAAGCTGTTAATATTATTCACTAGCAAATGTCATGGCCACTGCTAGCGATGGTGCAGTAACATTGTGTGATAAAATTCTGTAGACAATGAGCAGCAGAATTTAAGAGCAACAGAGATTGTCCCCCCAGGGGGCAAAAAATTTCATAGTCAGCCCAGGCAAATATAATATTACACATAGAATCTGAAATTAAAGATAAAATAGTTCTGTAGACTTTTACAAACACAAGTTTCAATTATATCCAAACATTAACGGTAACCTTACAGTCATCATTATCATTTATTACTAGACTACAACAGATCTCCTTGCTAGAATATGTAAAATTTATACTACAAGAAACATGTCTCGACCACATACCAGAAAGTTCATAAAGTGCAAAGAAACTCGCAATCTTTCCATAGCTAACAATATGATAAGAATAACTCATTGCAAAACCTTCAGTCTCTAATTCCTTAAAAAACAATAGCACGTGACCTAAAATCTTACGACTAAAAATTGCGATTTACATAGAAATTTTTATAATGTTATAAGATAAAAAGTTTTTCATCATTTATTTTTCTATAATAAAAATTTAATATTTTTATTTTTTTATATTTTATTATTATTTTTCCTAGTTGTATTCACAAACTTGAACAACTCTCAAAAATATTTTTTACTGTTTGTAGGACTACTGGACATGGATCTAAGCGAATCACCATTAGAAGCTTTGCAGTAGATAGACTTAGTAGAGTAGATAAAGAGGTGGTGGAAAACCTTCATATGCCTTGGTGATGTTGTGTACTCAATAAAATTCGCAGTCTGAAAAAAATCTCAGTGA